AAGGAAAGGAAAGGAAAGGAAAGGAAAGGAAAGGAAAGGAAAAGAAAAGAAAGGAAAAGAAAGGAAAGGAAAGGAAAGGAAAGGAAAGGAAAGGAAAGGAAAGGAAAGGAAAGAGATGGAAACGAAAGAGATGGAAAGGAAAGGAAAGGAACGGAAAGGAAAAGAAAGGAAAGGAAAGGAAAGGAAAGGAAAGGAAAGGAAAGGAAAGGAGGTTAAGGGGGAAAGAAAGGATAAGGAAACGGAAGGGAGGGGAGGGAAAGGAAGGAAGGAAGGAAGGAAGGAAGGAAGGAAGGAAGGAAGGAAGGAAGGAAGGAAGGAAAGGAGAGCATGCACCAAGAATACGGAAAAAGCCCCCCCCCCCCCCCCACTCACTTGTGATATCATACACAACAACTGCGACAGTGGAGTCACGAATGTAGCTAGGAATCAAGCTCCTGAACCGCTCTTGGCCTGCCGTGTCCCACAATTGTAACCGTACCTAACGAAAATCGGTCAAAACAAGCAAGACAAAAAAAAAAAAAAAGACACAAGTCAAAAGCCAGAGCTAGATATACCTACTTGTAATATCGTATACTACTACAGCGGCGGCAGAGTCGCGGATGTAACTGGGAATGAGGCTACGGAAACGTTCCTGGCCCGCAGTATCCCAGAGCTGCAACCTAATCTGTGGGGGACGGGAGAAAATTTAAAAGGAAAAAGAAAAAAAAAGAAAAAAAAAAAGGCCATCCCGCACTTAAAAGAAGAACATGATTTTCCGCTTCTTTTTTTTTTAAATAAAAAAAGCAAAACGTTTTCTTTTTTAAAAAAATTATTTTTAAAAACTCATGCACGGAAAGGTGTTTGCATCGAGGTTGCAAGCAGAAGCAGGCCGCGAGGATTTCTCGGGGGGCTCTGGGTGAATCCAGGAACCTTTCTTGGGGGGGGGGGAAGACAGGGGAACCCAGCTAACTTTGGGGACCAGGCAGGCAGCGTGTCGGCGTATTTCGTGGGGGCAGCCAGCCAGCAAAAGGAGAATTGGCCTGCGAGAGGGAGAAACGCCAGCAGGGATGTGCAACCTTGGCAACGTTTTTTTAAGACTTGTGGACTTCAACTCCCAGAAAATCTCCGGCAGAGTAACAGAACAACAGTGGGAAGGGACCCTGGAGGTCTTCTAGCCCACCCCACCCCCCACCTCAAGCAGGAGATCCTATACCGCTCAGGACAAATGGCGGGGTCTGGTCTCTTCTTGAAAACCTCCTGGAGGGGGGAATTCTGGGAGCTGGAAGTCCACAAGTCTTAAGAGCCGCTCAAGAGTTGCACATCCTTGCACTTGAGTTAAAAAGGTTTTGCGAGAAGGCTGGGATAACCCAAAAAGGGGCTGTGTTAGGAACAAAGCCGATGGCCGGCCGTGTACCGCATATTTTTTAATCGTATTTTTTGTTAAAAAATGAACATGAAACAGCACTGCTGGTAAGGGAAGTGTTTCTTAACAGTATGATTTTTACAAATTTAACCCCAAAGGGTTATTAGTTTCATTTTGATGGCTTTGGGCCGGAGGATTCTATTCAAAATGATCTGCTGGACTAGGAAGGTAAGGAAAATTTGATCAGATTGGTTGATCTTCCAGCTGGAGATGGTCGGAAGGAACAAAAGGCCCTGGCCGCTAAGCAGGGTATGAATCTCCACATTGCCCAGAAACCATCATGGTTGGCATGTGGAACTCCGTTATGGCGGTGGGGAGCAGTACCGGTAGTCCTTGACTTACAACGGTTTGTTTAGTGACTGTCTGAACCTACAACGGCACTGGAAAAAAGTGACTGACGACCATTTTCCACACTTACGACCGTTGCAGTATTTCCCCACCGATCGTGGGATTCAAATTTGGATGCTTGGCAAGTGGTTCGTATTTATGGCGGTCACAGCGTCTCGGGGGGCGATCTCCTTTTGCGACTTTCCGACGAGCCAGGTCAAAGGGGAAAGCCAGATTCGTTTGACCACCGGGTTGCTAACAACTGCAGCGATCCACTTAACAACGGCGGCAAGACAGGTTGTGGGAGGGGGGGAAACTCGCTTAAGAAATGTCTTGCTCAGCAGCGGAAATTTGGGGTTCAGTCGTGGTGGTTAAGTCGAGGACAACCGGTAATGCGGAAGGTATCGGTGGCGGCACTGGGGGTAATGGGAGGTAGGTTGGGGTCGTAGAGATGCCGCACAGATAAGAGGCAGCCTAGCCTGCAGCTGCATAACAGAGCAGAGGAAAAAGAGAATCAACCCTAACTAAACAGACGGTAAAAAAAAAAGAGGCCGCAGGAGTGTCAACTCATAAAATATTTCCATGGTCTTTTTAGAGTTGCCAACCGAAAGGGTGGGGGGAGCAGTGCGGCAGCTTGCAAACTGAAACTGCATTCCATAAATGTTTTCAAAGATAGTTTCTAGGCGACTGAAGTTTCTGCCGTGCAAAATTCTAACTGGAGGGCCTGATGGATGACTCTGGGCTAGGGAGGTGTCCCATTGGAGGATATGAATTACGATACACCCAGGGTGTGAAGGGAAAACCAGGGTCACAGGTGACAATGAATGATGTGTCTCAGAGTTGGCTACATCCAGTTAGCGCCAGACATGTTAACTCCCAATAAATCCTTTTGAAGTTTTAGAAGTTTGGCTCGAGACACATGATTTAAATGGGGGGGTAACTGCCGGAATCCTGACAAGTTGTTTTGTACTTTCAGGCTTGCAAAATTCTCGTAATGTAGCCTTACAATAAACTGTGGAGTTAGCTCATCTACTCGTATTTCCTGTCCGGTTTACTGGCGAGGGCCGATGGTAGTTTCCGGCACTCCCGTATCACCGTAAGGTTAAAACTATCCTATCTATTTTTAAATATAGGAAAGAAAGGCTTGGCTTTTTAAAAATAAATAAATAATTGGGGCAAAGTGTCTTTTCTGTCACAGGGAAATTTGAGATGAGTTCTCACTGAGCAGAACATCTGGTTGTCACTGTACACGGGATTCTCACTTTATTTTATTCGCTTCTACAGTGGTACCTTGCTACTGTTCAAAACTCATCGCATGTGGTACTTGACCTGAACATTTTGTCCTGTGGGTACTTGTCGTTGGTTTTGATATTCAATGCACAAGCCAGAACTTGTGAGTGTTGGCTGCCTTGTGGCTTGCTCTATTATTCCTCGTGGGAAAAATTTGTTTGGCACTCATTGTTTTTGGTACTGAGCCCTGGTGTGGCGCATTGGTTAGAATGCAGTACTACAGGCTAACTCACTGTTCACGGCCCGGAGTTCGATCCTGACTGGCTCCAGGCTGACTCAGCCTTCCCCTCCCTAGAATGTGGAAGATTGTTGAGGGCAAATATGCTGACTCTGTAAACCCCTTAGAGGGGGCTGGAAAGCACTATGAAGCAGTATATAAGTCTAAGTGCTATTGCTACTCATGGCTCCTCCTGGAACCAATTAACAATGAGTAGTGAGGTACCACTGTATAAGGATGGCCTCAAAAAGTGCACTGTAGTATTTAATGGCCGCTTCAAATTATTTTTCATATAAAGACAATTCAGGAGCAAAACATTCCATCCAATTTATAGGGGTGAGATTTCGGTTTCTACCTTCATACGCAGTTTGAAATATTTGAGATGATAAGGGCGCCAGACTGGTTATTCTCAGGCCAACCTAGGCATTCAATACGGCAACCTGCAGAGGCCTGGGCAGTTCTCTGTTATGATAAGAAGGTAAGCAAAACTCTGCTGGTTTGGCCAAGGCCAAGGCCTTCATCCAGCATTTTGGCCAACCGGATGCCTCCGGTAAGGGAAGGGGTCGCTTGTTAAACCGTTCCCCACAATTGACACTGGAGGTATGGCCCACTTGAAATCAGAAGCTGTTCATATCCTTGCAAAATGCATTTAGACCAAGATTTCCCAACCTGGGCAATTTTAAGACATGTGGACTTCGACTCCCAGAATTCCCCAGCCAGCTGGCTGGGGAATTCTAGGAGTCGAAGTCCACACACCTTAAAAGTTGGCAAGGCTGGGAAATCCTGATTTACACAATGCAACGCACCATCCATGTTAAGACAGGCTAGTTAAGTCACTGCAAACTCTTACTCACTGTGCGATCTTCCAGGTACATCGTTTTTGATAAGAAGTCAATGCCGATTGTTGCCTGCAAAACGCAATTCAACAGTGAGTACCTAAATGCACACGTTCCTTTTGCTAAATTATGCGCTATCCACTCAATTACCCGTCAAGAGTAATGAAAATTTGAAATATCAGTTACCATGCTGGATCCATTTAATCAAGCGAATCTGCGTTTTTTTAAATTTTAGATGAACAATTGACCATTAATCTAGAATCTAATCTAAGGCACAGATCAAACTTCTACTTCCACTACAGGTAGTCCTCAATTTGCAACCGTTCATTTACTGACTGCTCAAAGTTACAACTGCACTGACCACTTTTCACACTTATGACTGTTGAGCATCCCCATGGTCATGTGATCAAAATTCAGCCGCTTGGCAACTTATGACGGTTGCAGAGTCCCAGGGACATGGGATCACCTTTTGCGACCTTCTGTCAATGAGGGAAGCAGATTCACTTAACAGCCCTGTTACTAACTTAACAACTGCAGTGATTCACTTAGCAACGGTGGCAAGAAAGGTGGCAAAACGGGACAAAACTCACTTAACTGTCTCGCTTAACGACATAAATTTTTGGGCTCAATTGTGGTCGTTAAGTCAAGGACTACCAATATATGGAGGGAAGGGAAGAAGAACCTTTTTAAAAGGGGGGCCTTGAACCAGAGGCTTACAAAGCAGGGGCTCTTTGAAGTCAGAGAGAACATTTATCTTGCTGAAAATTCTTTTTTTTAATCTTTCTTTAAAAAAAACATTTTTTTATTAATTTTCTATTTAATACATTTCCTAGTGCTTTATAAAGCACTTAGTGTTGTCTGGGTATTTAATCTGCTTAACGATACAGATTCCATTCTTAATCTCCACCCCCTTTTTTCCCTCAACCACTGGTAAAATAAGTGCCATGTCTGATAATATTCTGTGTCTTCATATTTATATTGATTATGATTTGATTGCTTTTTGTACTCTGTGACTATCATTAAGTGTTGTACCTTATGATTCTTGACTCTTGACGAATGTATCTTTCCTTTTATGTACAGTGTGAGCATTTGCACCAAAGACAAATTCCTTGTGTGTCCAATCACACTTGGCCAATAAAGAATTCTATTCTATTCTATTCTATTCTATTCTATTCTATTCTATTCTATTCTATTCTATTCTGGTCTGGTCTGGTCTGGTCTGGTCTGGTCTGGTCTAGTCTAGTCTAGTCTATTCTATGCTATGCTATTCTTAATTCTATTCTTAATTTTATTCTTTATTCTATTCTATTCCTTTCTTATTCTATTCTATACTATTCCTTTCTTATTCTATTCTATTCTTTTCTTATTCTATTCCTGTTCTATTCTTTCTGTTCGTTTTTCAATGTCAGTCTCTTCATTCCCGCACAATCTAATAATATCTTCTTAAATATATCTCCTCGTCTTGTGGTGTCTTCGTTTTTCCAACATTGTGCGGAGAGAATCCTTGCTGCGGTTAAAATATGTTTGAACAGCTCTTTTTAACCTTCCAACGGCTATTCTGTCCACAGGAAACTTCTCCCACCGATGAAGAAGGAATAGATTCTGCGGGTTCTGTTCCTAAATCTTCCTCCTCCCCTTGTTGCTCCCTCTCTCTCCTCCTTTGAGTAGCTTCATCCTTTGTACTTGGCTAAGGGAATCCAGTAGCCCGGCGTCAAGGAAGCAGCAAAGGTTCCTTCTATTGTGCTTCTATTATCTGGGCTCACCACCGGAAACCCACCTTGGGGACGCCAGAGGCGGTCTCCCTCCTTCCTCCGCAGAAAGGGCCTGCCGTCTGGCTCGCTGTTTGCAAAGCACACAAAGCCATGTGCTTGTGGCAGGCATGAGATAATGCTAAGGCGTGAACAGACCGATGGGAGGACTTGAAAAAAGCCTCGCAAAGAGCTATTCGGCGGGCCCTTTTCTTCTTCTTCCACACGGCTGCCCCTCGGGCCTCCTCATGCCTCGTAGCCCAGGAAGCAGGGATTTTATTTTAGTTTTTTAGTTTGGAAAAGGCAACGGGGCTGATTCAAACCTTGCCCTCACTCCCCACCCCCCTTGTCTATTTCCAAGAAGGGAAGGGGAGACCGCAGCAGTGGGCTTGCTCTGTAACCGGCGAAGAAAGCAAGAGAGGAAGGAGCAGGGTGCTTAACAGTACTACAGAATAACAAGAGTTTGGAAAAGGGACCTTGGAGATCTTCTAGTCCAACCCCATGCTCAAGCAGGAAACCCCGTACCACTTCAGACAACGCTCGTCCAACCTTTTCTTACAAACCTCCAGGGCTGAAGCACCCACCCCTTCCCGAGGCAAGCAGGTCCACTGGTTAATTGTCCTCACTGTGCTGGGGAGTTTCTCCTTAGTTCCACTTTCTGGCTCTTTGGAGAACAGGCTGACCCCTTCTTCTTTGGGGCAAGCCCCTCAAATATTGGAAAGACTGCTGTCATCTCACCCCTCACCTTTCCTTTCGCTAAACTAGACATGCCCGATTCCTACCCATTCTTTGCATGTTTGGGCCTCCAGCCCTCTAACGATCTCCGTCGCCGTCCTCTGCACTCTTTCCAGGATTTTCAGCGAAATCATCGTAAGACCACAGGAGGCCGCCCACGATCCCAAGCATGGCTATCTTGTTGAGCAGGATTATCGCAGGCGGGACCTTGGAGATCTTCTAGTCCAACCCGCAAGTTGGTGGCAGTGTCTCTGACCTCATTTGGAACACCTGCCACGCAATTCCCTGACAAAACAACTCTCCCATTTCCTTTTCTTTAAAACTCCTGCGTTTGGTTCTCAAGACACACACACACACACACACAGAGAGATAGTCCTAGAACCCTGGCTTCTTTGGGGCAGCCCCTGAGATATTGCAAGACGGCTGTCATGTCACCCTTAGTCCTTCTTTTCATTAAACTGGACCTCCCCAATAACTTTTGAGTACTTTGGGCCACCTAATGAGAAGGAAGGACTCCCTGGAGAAGCGCCGAATGCTGGAGGGCAATAGAAGAAGAAGGGAAGAAGGCAGAGAAGGAGAGGGCTGGAGCAGTCGGCGTGAGCTTAAATGGACTCCGGAAGATGGCAGAGGACAGGAAGGCTGGAGGAACGTGGTCCATGGGGTCGCGATGGGTCGGACACGACTTTGCAACTAACCACAACCACCCAATAACAGAATACCCAGAGTTAAAAGGGAACCTGGAGGTTATCTAGTTCTACCCCTTGCTTCAGCAGGAGACTCTACACCATTCCAGACAACTGGCTGTCCGGTCTTTTCTTAAAAACCTCCAGTGTTGGAGCACCCGCAATTTCTGGAGGCAAGCCGTTCCACTGGCTAACCTCCCCATCAGAAATTTCTCCTTAATTCCAGGTTGGCTTCTCTTCTGGATGAGTTTCCATCCATTGCTTCTTGTCCTGCCTCTTCAGGGGCTTTGGAGAACAGAGAACCTATTTGGAGAATAGGTTGAGCCGAGCCTCCTTCTTTAAGAGGAGCTGGCATTCAGCCGGTGGATAATGCTGGGCAGAAAGGCAAGTGCATTCCAGGGACCCATCTCATAAATCCTCCGTGAGCGAAGAGGGATCCAGTTCCATCCCGATCGCAGGCGTATCTTCCACTTGAGTGGTCTCCCTGCTTTGCGGTTTCAGCCATCAGCCTTACAAGTGCCTCATTAGTTATGCCGTACGTCCTTTCCCTGAAGGCCGCCGTACTATTCAAGCTCTGAAGGCCAAACTCCAATTAAAACCAGGAGGCACATTGCACAAAGAGAACCAAGGCTGGGACAGGACAATCGATGACGGCATGAACAAAAGCGCGATAACGACGGCATTTGCAATGGGCAGAAATAGAAAAGGGTCTGCAAGGAATGTTTGAGCTGTCTTATATCGTCAAAAGTCCGGCTGAATCTGCTGGCGTTCCAATCCGGCCACTAGAACTATTCCAGCTAAGTGCTGTTCAACCAGGGTGGATAAAAATCGATGTTTTTTTTAAAAAAAAAATTAAAACAAATTAAAAAAGGATTTTTTTAAAAATTTCTATCAAATTTATTTTAATAATATGCTTTTGGAATAAAAAAAAATCTATCTAAAGATCGTTTTCTATTTCAGATACAATAATAATTGAGTTTATTCAGCATGAAATGGAGCTTGGGTAGGTAGCACGGGGCTGTATATTCTGCAATATTGGGACTGTCGGGGAGTCAACAGAAGGTCAGAGTAGGAGCAACTGCGGGACAGAGATGACAGCCACTCTTTAAAAATTATGATTTCAATTGAATTGATTTAAATCAAACTTTTTACTAGTGATTCAAATTGTGATTTCAATTGACTTGATTTAAATCAAATCCACCCTGTGTTCAACCTTTGGGAAGGGCTCCTTCACACATACCAAAAAAATGGGGAAAGGATCCTTGCATTTGGAAGCAAGAATTCCCCGTCTTTAAAATTAATTTTGAATAGAATTTATTTATTTATTATTATGACTTATACACCACCCATCTTGCTATCCCAAGCAACAAGGGCGTCTTACAACGCAGTAGAAATGTAAATAGAAAATCAATTGTAAGTATAAAATCAATCCCTCTACGATCTGGCTACCCTACCCCATTCAGTTTGGGGTTGTGCAGACTCTTAATCTGGGCCTCTCTCTGGGAAAGCTTTGGGGTCTCAAAACTACCCCCCCCTGCCCCCACTTATTCTCTAGGTCCATATTCCATCACAAAGGTATTGAGAATGGTGGATGATTCACTCTCTATCCAACCTCTTGCCACAGACTTCTACTCTTCCCTTTCAAAAAAAATTCATGTTTTCTACATTTGGCAGAGAAGGGAGTTGAGAAGGACAAGAAGCAACAGATGGAAAGTAATCAAGGAGAGGACCTAGGAAAACAAGAACAAGAGGAGAAACTGTCCTCAGTGTGAGGACAATTAACCAGTGGAACAGCTTGTGGATGCTTCATCACGGGAGGTTTTTTAAAAAAGAGATTGGACGTCTACTTGTCTGAAATGGTATAAGCTCTCCTGATTGAGCAGGGGTTGGACTAGAAGACCTCCAGGGTCCCTTCCAGCTCTATTATTCCATGTTTTATCTCAGAATGTACGTGCCAGAGCAGACTCCTGTAATTTAGGCTGAATGTGAGTGTGAGACTCTTATCTGGCAAATGGGTTAATTCACTACGTATGCAAAGGAGATCTGTACCTTTTAGTTTACATAAAGTTTTCTCCTTGTTTATTAAGGTATCTAGCAACTTATGCAGAACCAATATCAGCCAGAAATACAGAAGCACATAAGGAATAGCTGTATAGGATATGAAACATGAAAAGAGAAAAGAGTTTATGGTATTTTCTACAGAGTACACAGCTAGTACAGTCTTTCATTGTAAGCAGACAAACTGATAACAAAGCCAGAAACTCTTCTGATTCCTATGTCTTAGGATCAGAGTCCTGGCCTTCTATTATTTCTATTCTACTATTGAACAATCTTGAGAAACTACTTTGTCCATCATTTTTCTGCTGCATGAGATTAAAAACAGAAGGAAATCTCTGTTAACCTGGAATATTTCAGCAAAGTTCTGAATCCCTTAAGTTAAAGTTTGGAAATCATAAAACAAAAACAAAAAATCTTACCTGGTAGGTGTTGTCAAAGCTGTCATACATGAATCTGGTGATCAAAGAAGTCTTCCCAACTGGAGAAACAAAGAAAACATGTTGGTAACATCCAACTAAATTCTAAGCCTCATCCTACTGCAGTTAAGGAAAAGGCATTTGACATGAATCACATTTTTCACATTTTTTTTGACAATGACTGCGATTTAGTGACAACAATTAAAGGAGCCATATGGCCCCAAACTGTGAAATATTTTTAGTTTAACAGCATGTGAACACTTATTGTAACATCTGTCCCCATTACAGTAAGATTCAATTGTCAAAAGCTTTCACGCTTCGCAACTGTGGCTCCGCGTTGTGCAGTTGAACTCTGGGAAAAGAGTCTACTAATCCAGGGTTGGCCAAATACAATGGTCAAGAACAGGGGTTTGTGAACTTCAACTCCCAGAATTCCCTGGCAGCCAGAAGCGAAAAAGCTTATTGGATGAGAATCAAAACATTAGGGGGTGGGGGGTGAACAAGAAAGTCATGCTGCCTTTTGGAAAAGCACCTCTGGGAATCTCCCCCAATGTTAACAAATTTAACAGAGTTGGAAGGGACCTCAGAGGTCATCTAGGCCAACTCCCACCCAAGCAGGAGACCCTACACCTTAAGTTAGCTCCATCCCTCCTGACATTCCAGAAGTCCTTGGCTAGGTTACCCATCCTGGGAGTCCCAGAGAAAACCAGAAATATGTGTAGATATCCAGTACTGAGGTAGATATTCTTTCTCTGCCTAAGGTTCGTAGAATTTACACTTAATAATATTAAATTTTTAATACTTATTTTACATTTTTATCATGATCGTTAATATTTGCATTGTGCTTTATCGGGCTGCCGAGAGCAGCCTAGAGTCAATTTTCTTGTGATGACAGCCAGGATGGATGGATGGATGGATGGAAAGAAAGAAAAGTGAGTGAGTCACAAAGAGAAGAAGCAGTTAAATGCAAATGGAAAAATTAGGAACAAGCAACAACATTTCATTTGGTTGTCAGTGACTTGGTTGTCTGTTGCAAAAAGTGAATAAGGAAGGTACTGCTGTTAAACTCTTAGGAAGACTTGAAATCATTCCCATCTCACCTTGAACTCAATCATTGTAAGAGGAAGAGGATGACAACTTCATCAAAAAGCCAACTGTTGTGTCTGTTACAAAGAGTAGGCATGTAGATTCCATTAATTCCTTAAGAAAGTTAGCAGTAAAAATTGCAGCTTGCTCCCGATTGGTAGGGAATATATAAATATTCTAAAATTCGTGCGATTGAAGGCGGAAATATGCAGGATTACAACTCTCATCCTTTGCAGCTGATTCCACAATGTGGCAAAATTAATTGGAATTACAATCTAACTAACACAAGCCCTTTATAGAGCAAATACCAGGGGATCCCTGTACAGTATGTAATATTAAATCCAGAGAGTGGCTTAAGATTAAGGAAGGCTGAGGCAAGAATTTGTTTCCCAGCCATGTTGAGGGTGGTTTGGTTTAATCAGCCCTTCCTTGCCTATTTAATAACAAAAACAAAACACAAAAGTAACAAAAAGAAAGAAATATAACCATAATCTGGACCCTAACCCGGGGTCTTCCAAACAAAAAATAAAAATAAAAGAGAAGATAGGTTTGCATATTGTGTAAACTCTGTGAGATGCAATTGTACCTTTCCTCCAGTTTGCAGCTGAAAAGCAAGAAAACACCTCCACGTTTTTTTGACGAAGCAGCCTTTTGTTCAAGTCTGCTTCAAGCGAGGCTGTATTTCAGCCAAACCGTATTTACCGAGGTTTATAATCCACAATAGGCGGCAAGCGTTATGTATTTCACACTTCAAACTAATAAGCCTGGGTACATATGACTTAACTCTGAAAGTCCCAAGTTTCGTGTCTAAAGAAACTAAATTTAGTTGTGTATTTATGAAAGTGAGTGCAGGAAGCTAAAAAAATAAATAAGGCAGGAGCTATTTCCGGTACACCAGGCTTCTGCCCACGTAGATGTAAGCAGTCAGGAACATCATGTACTGCGAGCGAAGCAAAAGGACCAACTCCTGCTCAAAAACATGATCTTTTTCACAAATGTGCTGTTGGAGAATTTTCTCACACGACGAAGATGTAAATTGACAGGGCTGCTAACCAGGGATTGGGAGCAAACGAAGAATCATTTGGGGACAAGACAGAGAGCTTTTTCAAGAGATAGGCTCATATTCAACAGAGGGTAAAAAATATGTATCTTTACCATACAATTCCTAGGCCATTTAGAGGTTTAAAGGGAAGTGTATCAACACTTAACTTGTTCCAAAGGTGATTTTTTTTCCAAAGAAGCTTCTTGGATGAGAAGCGAAAGGACAACTCTGAAGCGAACCTGGCTGAAGCCATCTTTTGATGCCTCATAGTTGCCATGAACTTGTGGGGAGGGGGAGAGGTAACAGCCTAGCTTGCAGTCAAAACAAAAAGCTTGCTCACAGGAACCAAGGTCAAATCCACAGGTGGCAGCTGAAGGAGGCAGGAAGTTGACCAAGAAGCCCAACAAACATCTTAATGGGCAATAATGGACCTGTGACAATAGGGGAGGGGATCAATTGCGATTTTTTTTTTTTGGTCATAACTGGAGGGAAAAAAAACTTTCAGAGACGGGTTTCACTGGCTGTGCTGATTTGATGCATCCAATCAACACATTCTTTGAGGAATCCTACCTGCCTCAGAGTTTTCTGCTTTTGATGGGTGCATTACTCGGTACGCTGACACCAAATATTTTCTAAAGAGGAAAAAAAACCCACCCAAGAAGGTCCAGTTGCCTTTTGGAGAAAATCACCTTTGGGACAACCGGATGATGGGAGAATCTCCACAGACAACACCTGAACTTGTGACAGCACAGTGCAAAACAGCTGAATCTGCAGAGCGACATGTCTGAAGGTTTTTCTTTCAGAAGACCTGGGAACCTCTGTAACTTAGTCCTGCCTCTTTTCTGGAGTCAGGACTTGGTACTTCCAAGTGGCACTATCTACCTCCCCTGGACCCACCCTGAGAGGTAGGCCAATGACTCATCCTGCCTTTCGCAACAAGGGAATGTGGAAGAGTATGACTAAATATCCAGGATTAATAAAAGATAAGGAACAACGTTAGATGTGCATTACGCTGAAAAATAAATAAGAATAAAACATCAAACTACCAAATACCCCAAAACATGTTACTTATTTCTACTAAAATAGCAGGATAAGTAGTCCCAAAGGTTTCTGGTCTTCTCTGAGCTTGCTTGTTTTCTTGCAGACGTTTCATGACCCAACTAGGTAACATCAGCAGTGCTAGATCTGCGAGAAAACAAGCAAGCTCAGAGAGCACCAAGGACCCCGAGCTACAAATATTCTCCTTTATTATTCCCAAAGGTGCTTTTCAAAAGGCAACTGGATGGAACTGAAAAAGCTTCTTGGATGAGATGTGAAAGGTTTACTAGAAAAAAAATAAATAAATAAGACATTCCAGTTGTCTTTTGGAAAATCACCTTTGGACTTTGGTTGTCAAACGGTCACAAAAGGGGATCATGCAACCCCGTGACGCTGCCACCGTCATAAATACATGCTGGTTGCCAAGCAGTTGAATTTTGATCACGCAACCATGGGGACGCTGCAACAATCGTTAAGTGTGAAAAAACGGTCACAAGTCACTTTTTTCAGTGCCCTTGTAACTTCAAACGGTCACTAAACGAACTGTTGTAAGTCAAGGAGGACCTGTATAACCCGTTGCCTTCTGAGCTGATAGAAGGAAGATTTTAAGAAGAGGTTGCACCCGTCTCATTGGAAGAGACAGAAATATTTTCTCGTGCCATTCTGAGCTATGCAGGGCGTGCGGGGTCCGGTGGCCAACAAAATATTTCATTTTAATGGATGCCGATTAGTGTGCATTCAAAGTGACAAAAGTTATTCTAAGTTCACCTCGCTGACCCGGTCTTGCCAATTCTGAGGAAGAGAGCACCATTTACTGGCTAGCTGACAAATCACTGGGTATCTCCATTAGCGTTGCTAAATGTGTCACTCTTCGCTATTAAGGGCCCATTCGTTTAGCGCCTGTGTAACCTCATCAGTTTTTAAGTATCCATTCCTTTCCCCCTTTCAGTTATTTATAACAGATTATACTATCTGTCCATAACATTAAACACCTCTACCAAAGGACTCCTGCCTTTATGACAAAGGGCTGCTCAGGACCACTGTAAGGAGAGAGAACAATTGCTACTGCCCTGCCAATTGTTTTTTTTTTGAGCAGTTTAATTTGGCTAGACCCCATAAAACCTCTCTTAAGCATTCTCTTTTAATGTTTTTACCACAGCAAAAAAAATTGTCTGGGCTTCTAAGGGTCAGGCTGGTCAAGGAATCTTAAAAGGTTGCAGGCTGGACTGGAAAGCTTAAAAAAAAAAAATGTTTGGAGGAAAAGCAATGGAAAAATCATTTCTGTAAATGTTGCCGAGAAAATTGCACGGATGAATCGTGTATTCAGTAGGAAATGAGTCGGGGGCCTCGTGGGGATCTTTATCTTTTTATGGGCCACTGCAAAAGCCTGTAAAGTCTGGGAAAGGGCAAATCATATCTCTAGTATTCAAATGGGAAAAGAATGACAGACCATTCTGATAAGCAAGCTATATAGGTAGAAGTCGCATGGTATGCTTTCAGATCAATCCATTCCAAAGGCCATCGCAACGGAGTGTACCTTACGGTTTCTCTTAGATTTTCTACTTTTATTAAACTAGCAGATTTTTAATTGTCAGAGAGGGGTATGCTCTTAATTAAGATTAAGAGCAGATCAAGCCCCTTGTGAATGTGCCCCGAGAGATGGCTTAAAAACTGCGTAGAGCTTAGTTTAATCTGGTGGCAAATACCCAGCTGCTAAGTAATTCTGGAATCAAAGATATAAATCAGTATAAAAGAGCCATCAAGCAAAGAGATACTGAGGCCAGATTTTTATTTTTTAACTTTAATTCAGATGATTCTTAAAATAAATGGCAATCTGAAACCAGAACTTTTAATTCTTATATGCATAAAGATGGGAAACTCATTAATTCCCACAAT